TCTGATTTGATTAGCCGATTTGTTCTTAGTTTGTTTTGCTCATTTGCTTTGGTGCGGTTATCATTATGGACCTCACCTTTCCATTTTGTTAGAAATAAATCTTTGATGCCCAAATCAATTTGTTTCATTTGTGCCGAGGTTAATTTATCACAGTTGTTAACTGAATGATATAGTTGGATATTGTTTAATAATGATGTCACTTCTAGATATCATTTACTTTTAATGTTTTGGTTAACCACAAAAGCTTCCTTGAGTAACGCATTATTAGAATTCATGGCCCGACTGTAATATTTAATTATTTGTTTTTTTTATAAATACGTCTAGGGGGTATCTGCCTAACTCGCTATACATGGCCATAATTGGTGTGTGTTGTGACACCCCCAGTAGATACCGACAATAACTTAATTAAACGTCTTCAATAGGTGATTTAGTGGAGAACTCATCACCCCAAACATCACAACCATAAATGAGGATAGGTCTGATGAGTAATTCCATAACCACATTTTTAAAGTATATTGCACCTGTAGTGACATGTATAAACAAACATGTAAAATACATTGTTTATTTACTAAAAATGTTAACATGCACTACACAACTACTGCAACTCTTTAATTACCACTGTAATAGGTAACCAATCACGGCACAGATTCAGTATTCAGTGTGGTGTGGGAAAATAACTTTGTTTGATATTTAGCAGAATTTCTTCTTGTACTTAACACATTTTGATTTTGATATTCATTGCTTTCATACATGTAGTGTTGTTTGATTTTTCTATCCTTTAGTTTCACACTTTGCACCACTCAGCCAGTAGGCAACCCTGCACATAAACAAATAGTAATCATAAAAATGTAAACAATGAAAGCAAATAAACCAGCTGGCAGTGGTGTTTTTGTTTACACTTATAAAAAGTGCATTTTCTCTGTTAGTTTTCGTGGTAGCAAAATAAAAATGACATTGTTTGAATGTAGAGATTATGGGTTACAAGTACATATAAGGTACGTCAAAGTTCACAACAAAATAACAAACAACTCGTTTCAGCTGCAAATTTAACAAGGCACAATTTTGGTCTGAGAAGCCGCAGACATATGCAAACACAACCAAAATGTAGAGAATCTACTTGTTAAAGTGAGTGTCAAAAATTGTGCATGGTAGCCTACTGGCTGCACTATTCCACTACTTTGTATTCTAGTTTCACACTTTGCACCACTATTCCACTACTTTGCATTCTAGTTTCACACTTTGCACCAATATTCCACGACTTTGCATTCTAGTTTCACACTTTGCACCACTATTCCACTACTTTGCACTATAGTTTTGTACTTTGCACAATATTCCACTAGTTTGCACTCTAGTTTTGCACTTTGCACCACTACTCCGTCTTCTGTACATTGCACTCTAGTTTCATATTTTGCACCACTACTCCACCACTTTGTTATTCTTTTCTTCCTATGACATATTTCTCTTATAACTTTTATCTTCATTTTTTTTTTCAGATCATCAGCATTATGTTAAAGTGACAGAGATTATTACAGTCAAAGCAGAATATGAATTCCATCCAGGTGGCCATTATGAAAAGTACTCAAAATATTCTAAAATAAATACAATTGAACTACTTCCGAAAAAGTCAAATGTTTTCTCAGGTATAGTAGATGAAATATATTTTGTGCATATTTTTGAGTTGTCTGTTTAAGTATATTGACCCACCATTAGTCTGTCAAATATTGACAAGTATTTACAATGTATAGGATAAGTTTGTACCGGTATCTTTGATAATCATAAATGGTGGTGTGCGAAGAGTTCCATGCCCATTTCCATTGAACATATTTTGACCAATGGCATTGTGGCACGCAATGGACGTTTATAAACATTCAATCGCAGAAATTGAAATATTCAAGGTTACGAAAAGACAATATTGCACTTCCCACAAATGTGCAAGAACACTAGAAAAAGACAACCTTTTTTACACACGAAAGCACAATGCTGAAACACTTATTTACTGTTTTGTTCATTCTCTGCAGTTTACATGATAAAACGAAATGGACGACATAAATGGAAAGATAGGAAAGTTAGCTTTCACTGCAGAGATTCTTCATGTGCAAATGATTGGATTGAAAACATAAATCGTACTATAAACAAACAAGGTAAGCTTGTTGTCTGCTATATTGCTATATCCTACATCTGAATTTAGCATGACATATCTGAAATTGTATTCATTTCAGATGTATGTGTACTTATTACAATCTTAATAATTGGTGGCTTACACATGTATTTGATGACACTATGGGCTGTTATTGTTTCTTAATTATGACTGCAAACGGGAAAAGATATGAGGTTATCATGAAAATGACGAAAAGTATGCACTCAGGCAGTTTGGGATCACATCAACCTCTACTATATGTGTTGGTTGACACAATGGCCATATTGCCTTCATCATCCATACTTTGTGGTAATTTCAGGATAACTTCATATTATCTTTTAGTCTTTACTTCACTACCAGAACTTTCCATACCACTTTATTTTTTACATAATTTGGTTAACATATAAAAAAAAAATGACATTATTTATGTCTAATTATTACATTAAAATTACTGAAGATTTTTGTATATTCTAAACAAGTTTTGGTATTTTTGCCCATGCTAACCACTGTTTCCTCTTGTGTGTGAATGCAACCTGGTCTATCAGATATGCAAATTTATGAGATTACCATTAAAATCCTATTATAAACCACATACCTAATAGTAACCGCACCCCCGATTTCGGCTTCAGTGTTAAAGAGTTCTCAACAAAAATTGAAAACATGAAAAGTACATATTACTAACCGAACCACCAATTCAACAAGACCGTGACTGACTTTGTTTCAACCAGCTGGTACATTGTTCCTAATCATATTCATTTGTTTCGACAACGTGCCTAAAAATATTCACACCTCTTTATTGTTCAGTAGTGTTAGGATGTCAAACACGCAGTAAAACTGCTTTTGTTCTTGCAACAACTTTTGTCAATACTCCTTAAGAATACGTCCGTGTGTCGCAAGTTTTCGACAATGAGCTGTTATCACCGAAAACTGTTAAATTCTTTTTCAATGCTCAGTTTATTTTTCGAAAACAACTAATTTCTTGATTTAAAAAAAAAGTCATGTCGTTTT